TAAAAGTGATCAAGGGCCATAACTTTGGCAGTAATTATCTGAAATCGCTGAAAATCAAAAGGCTTCTTCGTCTCATGACCTTAAACACTGTGTATTAATTTAAAGTCAATCGGATATTAACTTTAGCTTCTAGAGCATTTACAAGATTTTTTTTGAAGTGATCAAGGGCCATAACTCTGGCAGTAATTATCGAAAATGGCTGAAAATGAATAAACCTCTTCGTCTCATGACCTTAAACACTGTGTATAAATTTAAACTCAATCGGATATTAACTTTAGCCTCTAGAGCGTCCACAAGATTTTTCAAAGTGATCAAGGGCCATAACTCTGGCAGTAATTATCGGAAATTGCTGAAAATCAAAGTGATCAAGGGCCATAACTCTGGCAGTAATTATCTGAAATCGCTGAAAATCAAAAGGCTTCTTCGTCTCATGACCTTAAACACTGTGTATTAATTTAAAGTCAATCGGATATTAACTTTGACCTCTAGAGCGTCCATAAGATTTTTTGAAGTGATCAAGGGCCATAACTCTGGCAGTAGTTATCAGAAATCGCTGAAAATCAATAGGCTTCTTCGTCTCATGACCTTAAACACAGTGTATAAATTTAAAGTCAATCGGATATTAACTTTGGCCTCTAGAGCGTCCACAAGATATTTTGAAGTGATCAAAGGCCATAACTCTGGCAGTAATTATCAGAAATGTGGGCGTATAAAAATGATATTGTAATTTATTAAGCTTTGGCATTATTCAGCTGCTAGCTCCCCCAGGCGCTTTCCATAAATACAATTTTTACAATAAATGATGACAACAACGATAAAACATTAAGCATGATAAAAGAGGAAGGCGCATAAAAGACACATTGAAAGACAAATATCGTTACAAGAACATTAGATCACGAATTTAGTTTAGAAGAAAATATGATCACCGATATATCATTTAGTTTAAAATATATTTAATTCTACAGTACGACAACGAATGTCTTGTGTCTCTTTCATAAAATCTTTAATAATATAGGATTTATCACCTGAATTAGTTCTGGAAAAATGCTTAAAGATGTATTATGCCTAATGCGGGTCTTTTTTCTCGCTTTAAAATTTTCATATAAATTATTATTTATTCATATGCCAAGCTCATTATCAACTCTAGAGCATCGGATGACCACCCGCGTCATGTAATCGATTAACGTTAAAATGGACGAAATGCAGTCAATGACAGGACTGACAATCGAGACATGATTTATTATAACAGCAATGGTACTTGAAAATCGAATGTTTCTTGTTAGAATTTCAAACATTCATAACTTCGCTCAGAATAGAGTAATTTGACTGAAATTTTCAATATATTCATTTACGTTATCTATTGTTTGTGTACTATTATGACAAGAACTGTCAGCTCTGTATCTACATTTTACATAATGCATCTTTAAGTAAAAAGGATTTCTAATTTGTTGGTCGAAGGTTTCTCGGAGGTTTGTTTGTGTTCATATGGAAAAGGTACTGAAGTAATGTATAGTCATACAGGGTCGAATATAGACAATATTATAAAATTGATGTGCTAGCGGACTGGATGCCCATAAAGGTCTTTAAAAATCGTTGGTGATTTGGTCTAATCTTTGTTATTATCTTGGCTGCATTATTTTCAAATGTCCGAAGTTGATTATTATATTTTCAGGTAGATTATGCAAAAGTGAATTTTGAGGTAACCAGAAATTTATTCGTGTCACGATTAAGGAATTTTCGAATTTCTCCAGTCTTAAAAGAGCTAAATCGCTAATATTCGGGACCTAGAAATTGGCACAAATGGGTCGCAATGCATATATTAATGTAATGTGAATGTATATAAATTGATTTACATTCAGTCGTTTCCTTTTATACTCTAATTTCAAATCAGTTATGTTCGGCGAAATACGCCAGAAGTCTCAATCGAATGTCAATCTTTAGCATCTGGTTATTCCAGTCTATACCGATATTATTTATTGTGCATGTTCTTCAGATAAGAATATGACGTCACCGTTTGACATGAATTGTGGAATATGTCTAGCCTCTTTCTTCAAGTTCCTTGTTACAAATGACGCTGAAACGCATTATGGTACACGATATAAAATGTTTATTTTGTCTTAAATATTGGATATGAAGCTCATCTTTGCCCGGTAAGATTACAACATCAATGTTGATTTAAATTGACAAATAATTCGTGTTTTCAACATCGAAGACTTAGGATGATAATGAGTTATAGACTTAGCTTCTTTAAAATTAATACTTTTAAGCATAGCCTAAATTTGTTTACCCATGCCCAGATTAGAGTTCAGATGAACATCTATGTTGTTTACATTTTTGGTTTAATAGAGTTTTGCCAATTTGAGAGTTTTCTATGTCTAAAGTCTGCTTTTCCATCGCTTTAAACAGATATATCAGATTGTTCCAACGTTATATAACTTTGAGTGTCATCTGCGAAAAGATGGTTTTTAAGGATCTGTTTGCGAATGGAATTTCCTCAAAAGTACCCATTGCTAGGGAATCTTTAGGGGGCACATTTAAAGTGTGTGAGTGTGTGTGTGTGTGTGTGTGTGTGTGTGTGTGTGCACCGTGCTCATGGTATGACTAAATTCAAAGTAGTTCAGTAATTTTTTAAATTATATGTCGTGTCAAATTGTCCGGCAGCCAAACTCAAGTTTAAGCCTTGACATGGGAATATAGTTCACCTGGTAGGTCCAATTTGTGTGTCTGTGTCGCCTACGTTACATACATATTCCTTATACCCCAAGGATGATCCCTATTGTTTTTGATGCATGCCCTACCCCCAGGGACAGAGCCACATCCATTTATTCTGTGTGTTGCCTACAGGCCGCAATTCTTAATGGATTGTCTTGGAACCCTCATCGCAACTATTGATTTTGGTGCATGTCCCAACCCCCAGGGGTGGTGTCACACCCATTTTTTGTTAATATTTAGTCAAATTTCGCAAACCAAACCTTCTTTGTCTCTTTTCATATTACAGTCGTTGGAGCCATTTCGTATTTAATTCTCTTCATGTTAAAAAGCACCATATCAATCAAAATAGGAATGTTGACGGATTATACATCTTCAATATGTGTACATTCAGAATCCAGATGATTCCAACATTGCACCCTTGGACAAATTTAAATATTCAAGATGGCCGGTATGAGACATGTTCTGGTTATTTAGTTGGATCCAAAAACCACCTTCATATGCGAGGAGAATTTGTCACGAATTCTACCCAACCAAATAACCGGAAATGCCTCATAGCGGCGATCTTGAATATTTAAATTTACACAATTGAAAATGAAATCCATCAAAAACATTAGGTGGACTATATTTCCAGGTTTGTCGACCTGCTGTTGGACTAAAACGCAGCGCTCAGATTAAACATACATTATGCAAGAGCTAAATCTGCCAATTACAGGTCTTTCTTTAGGTCTGAATTATTATCTAAATTATTAATTAGACATTAATTAACTTATCCAGACAATTATCAACTCTCGACGGCATCGCTAGTCTGCGATATTTACTGGATTAGATCAAAAAGTGGATAATCGAGACTAGGCAAATTCCCTTTACATTATCTAGTTTTTAACTATTATAGTGCGAACTACCAGCACTAATCTAATCTCCAAAAATGTATCTTTAAATAGAACTGGCTCATCTGTGTTTTCTTGTCAATATCAATTAAAATAATATAAGGCGTTTTGTGTCGTGTGCACTACTGTGTAGATAGGAATAGTCCCTTGAGGTAATTACTATTGAGGTCAGATGAAGCAGCTTTCTTATCACCCTTTGATATCCATATCAAATAGCATGAGCACTAATGCATTGACCTTTTATGCAATAAATAATACCCTTTATCTTATCTTAATGTCTGTTTTATAACCGTGCATTTACATCCAGAGGCTAAAGAGAAATTAACAATACCCGTGACACTTTTTAGTAGACAAATAAGAGCGAGATCTAATGACTATGGCTCTACTGATCTTAGTTATTTGGTATGACATAGATCCCCAAGATGCGGTTTATAGAATCAGAGAGTGGAATTGATCCAAGATTTGGTCATGTATTAGATTTGGAATTGAACCAATATTTGCATATTTATAAAACGGAAAAATCGCCAAAAATACTTTAGTTTGTTTGTAAAAAGAAGCAGTATCGCGTTCACAAAGAAAATAAGAGTAAATAATTCTTAAATAATATTGTAATAAGGACATTTAATTGTTGAAGATAATGTAGATTAGGGTACACTGTAATATATTGTTCCAAGAATTAAACTGAAGCAAAGCACTCTATTAGTATTACTCAGCAATTTTGCATTTGAACACGTTTAATGTAACTGAATAATGCTGTCAAAATAAGCCCAAACCATAATATCCATATGTGATTGTGCCACGGCAAACTGTTTTTCTTTAGCCTACGTATGTAATTATTACGAAAACAACCATTTATTAACATTGGGTTGTCCTAGAATAACAGATAAATGGCGTATTGAGAGGATTAACAAGAAAATTCCTCTTAATCATCGGCTGACGAGATCCCAAAGGGCGGCATGTCAAAGTACAGTCCAATGACCGATTTCTATAATTGCATTTTTCTGCTCAAAGTGACAGATTATGAGATCAACCGTCATTACCATTGTATTAAATGTTTTACCACCGGCTGTATTGGATCCGACTTATATCTATTGATCTGTGGTTGATTGTGTCACATTATTACACACAAAAGACAATAACATTTATATTTGAATGTGCAAATGGAACAAGTATCTAATAAAATGAAAAAGCCAGGCGTTAGAAAAGGTGCTATAAAAGAATAGAATCAAATTATTCGATTTAAGGCACTTTGTCTTTTTGTCAATAACGTTTATATTGTTTCGTATGACAGGAAATAACACACAGACCCCATCTACACGAACCTATATACCCCCATATCGTTGGTTCGACTGCAAAACTTTCCAGAAGAGATTAAACAAATTTTAATACACTAAGTCAGGGTTAGAAATGAAAACTATTTATTTAACGTCATTTTATTATGATATAAAACTTTGATAATAATATACTATTTTGAGCAACTATAGATGATGACGGGACTACGAAAACAGTAGATACAAATGTGGACAAAAGCAAGTAGAATTGTTTAAAGCAAAAGACGTATTTTTGAAATACCCTTAGATGACCTTTCGCGGTCACATCGTGCTTGAATAGTGTTCCTGAAATGTCAGGTCTTTGACCTAGCATGGACTAAAGCATTGCACTGCACATATAAACCATATCTTTATGAACTTCTAAAGGTACGTGTACTTCTAAATATCACCAGTTGTATGTTTTGCCAATTAAACCAGATATTGAAATAAAGTCATCGAAAGCTTGGCAAATGTTTGAATTGAGTTTCGATGCTTTTAGTTGATGGTCTAAACAATATATTCATCCCAGCTCTTGAAAATTGTTTAACTATATTAAAGACATTGAATTTGGAATGTATTTACATGTATTTTATAGCAGACATAAACACGACCAATTGTTAACGATACAAATTATGGAATGTAACAAATGCCAAAAGAAACGATACATCACAGTAAATTGTCCACTCTGATACAATAAAACATGTATCCAGAAACACAATATAGATTGTTGTTCACTTTATTTTATTTTCTCTCGTTTATTCATATTAAAACCTAGCCAATTGTTTTTTATTTGGCGAAAGTTGAAAAGGGCTAGATAGAACAGACACAAAATACCTGTGGTGCCAAGATATGATATTGAAAAGCAAAACCACCAGTACTTTTACGACTATTACTACTACTAAACGAGGGGTTAATGTCCGGTTTCACACCAAGTGATATCGCAAACAAGTTCAAGCGAAGATTTGCCTCTATTAACGACCGTTTTTTTTCTTATCTATAGATTTATTTAGAATCCAATTTGAAGTCTATTTCAGTCGACATCAATAGACGACACACATTAAGACCACAATGCTTAATTTGTAATTACAGCTGTGGTATTCTTAACTAGACGGACACTTCCTGTTATTAGTCTAACTTTTTTTTTATTATCTTGGCTGGAAGTCGTAACTCTCGCTGTTCCTTCAATGTTCAATATCAAAACAGTTTCTATAGACCATAAATAGGAATTCGAAGAATGTTTACATAAACACAATTGATCAGAAAGGAGATCCCGATACCAAAATGCACCTGTTGAAATGTTTTTTTACATCTTTATTGTGATGAATACTTAGAAAAATATACACAATAAATGTATTTTAGTCATATTTCATCATAGAAAATTAATGCCACTTCGATCACACAAATCTGGTTTTCTCTCATTACTGAACACTAAATGATCGTTTCTTTAACATTATTGTGGTTCCTGTGGGGTAATAATTGAAGGTCGTGCCAGCTTCCGAATGGTAGGTATTCCGCCGTCGAAACAAGTAACTGTTGAACGCTCGTCTGAATTTAGTCGATACCATATTGTATATAACAGGATTGATGCAGCTATTTGTGTACAGCATGATTCGACCAAAACAAAGTAGACTCCAGTAGCTCTCAAAACCTAATCGCTGGATCGCTCCCCGCGGAGCATACATCACCCACAAACTGAACACTCTATAAGGCAAATTACAGATGAAGAAAAGAATGGTTACGATTGAAACCATGACAACCACCTGTCGAGTAGTGTTGACCCTTTTCTTCTGATTTCTGCCATTTGTGTCATCTTTAAAGACATTGTGCTCCACGGCGATTGTTTTTCCCAATATAATATACAAAATGGCCAGAATAAGGAAAGGCATAATAAAAAAAACGATGAAGGTTCCTAATATAAAATATTTTTCCCAGGGTTCCACCATATTGAGACGACACACTTTGATGGGTGTTCCATCTTTATATCTAGAGTCACGGTAGACAGCGATAATCAGGAACGGTGCACTAGACAACATGGAGAATACCCACAATCCAACTATGGTCACAAGCTTGGTCGTTTTGCTGAATAATTTGTTGTTTCTGAGTTTCAATGGAAAGCAGATAGCTTGAAATCGTTCTATACCAATTATAAGCATGGCAATAACAGAAGCATTCGATGCCGTTCCTTCTAAAAATGGCACAAGTTTACCTGAAAAAGAATACAACATAATCTTTAGTTAATTTATCTCAAATGTGTATACCTGAAGATGAAACATACAAAGGCAAAGGGCGGTTTTCATATGTTGGGAACTTCAATTTAGATCATGACTGGGCATGAACCGCAATTATGTAAGAGATAACCCTAACTTTGGTATAAGCAGTAGGTTATTTAGAATGTCTCTTGGCATGGACAGTATAGAGTTATTTAGAATCCCTCTTGGATGTTCCTTACTAACTATCGACCCACATAAAACCCGTAATTAATCTTCTAAATCTTTTTCAGAAAGTAAAAATTGTACTGTTATTCCATGACTTGGTAAAGTGCGGGGACGAGGAAGTGTAAAAGATGATAAAAAAAACCCCCACACTTAACTGTAACAAAAATATCCGTGAAAAAACGTAAACAATTCCGGAAACAAAAATTATCAGGAAAATTTTATCCCTATTTGTTTTTCCTGTAATGTACAGAAATTCCTCCAATTAACATAAATTCCATTTTCAAATACAGATGAAAAGAAAATCCTGGTAAATTTTGGTTCCTGAGCATGAAGGTGATAAAAATTTCATTGAATTAACCATTGACTTTATACGCTTTATTTAACGTCCACTTCCACCGAAGTGATATCACAGACAATCTTTTCGCTAATATAAAAATACGGAATACGGAAATACATAAAACACGTAATTTGAAGGAATAATTCACACTATTAACACAATTTCTCCAAAAAAGCCATCGATTAACAGAAAAAAAAGGTGTTAAACTCCGGAATTCGGCCACATAAAAAATGGATATTTTTTACAGAGTAGACATCCATATATCAAACGACACATCAATGGACGTTTTGACGCAATAAACATCTTATCTTATCTTATCTTATCTATATACCACAATTACTTCGTTTGATACCTTAGACTAATTAGTTATAATTAGAAATTAGATACCCCGAGGGAGGGCAGAAAATAATTCAGACGTATATTAATTTAACGATACATGGCAACCTTTGAATACTAAGGGCTATCGACATTGTTGCTTTGTTTGTTGGGTTTCTTTTTTTTTGAAGTAGAGAGAGAATGTAATGAGCATCATTAAGTTAATGATCCTAGGGCAAGTGGACAGTAGGCGACCATGATCATTATTTACAGTCGTGATAAGAATATCAGAACACATTTTTACTTCTATATCAGTGGTTTGGTTCTATAACAGGTAAGATAATGGATGGACACAAAGCCACCAGATACAATGAAATCGAATGCGTCTGCTGCATGTAAATACCAACTTCAGGAACTGACATTTCATTTTAAACGAAATTGGCATTGTACTTTGAGTCTCTGCGTACAAATTATATCCCAAGGCTTTGCTAGTGTGTGGTTTCTTTCTATGGGTTTTCTGAAACAAATTGTGCTTTTAACCCAACTTGTGCTATTATCCCTTAACTATACATTAAAAACATTATGTATATACAAAAAGCTTTTAATGTTGTTTCATAGAAATCGGAATGTTTCAACGAGATTGCTATGTAAGAAGAACTCGAGACCCTGGCGGTCGCATTGAGTGGACTTTTGACTTCAGATAACGTTTGCCAATCCATTTTTAGCCTTCAGTATTTCTATTTCCTGACTAATGGGAATGTTAAATCCGCAATTCTAATACCCCTTTTCAAATGCGCTTATATATCTTATATAACTGAATATTCAGATCGTTTCCTGCAGTAACGATCTCGCGTTTACCGACTAGTTTCACCTAACAATATAATACTTGCAGTTATAGTTTTAGGGTTGATTAACGCCCAATTGGATTCCTTTGATAACTGAGTTTGTTGAATGTATTATGTGTTCAATCACATCGTTTATGATCCGTTAAATAAACACTACGGAGGTAGAACTTTCATTTAAAATATTGACGGTAAATATTTGAGAAACAAAACCCTGACATTGCTATTAAAACACAGAAATAATCAAAATCAATCGTCTCAAAATACTTAGTTCAGTTAAAAAATTCGGTCAAATCGAGTAACATAAGCCGATTCCTGTTAAACTGAATAGGGAGATCTCATAACACTCACACAAACAATTCTGCACATTAGTCTTCTCATTATAAAAACGTACTGGGACCAGTGAATTTGAACGAGCTCCAAGTATAATAGCTACGCAGCGTGTAGCAAAACCGTCCAACAAAATATATAGCCGTACACGAACACAGTATCACATATAATCCAATATGTCAGTTTTACTGGCAAAGTACGAAAATTTATCTGAATGTCAACTTGGATCACTAATGGATGCTCTTTTTCTTTTAGAATTTTGTTAAAGTTTTAAATTGACCCCAGGTTCAAAGACTGGACCTATGGAGCAGAGATTAGACCTTTGTAAGAAATTTCCGAAACAAATAGGTCTCTAAATGAAGTGAAGTGACACCCATTCCTTCGTAATGGGACCTGGGCGTTAAATCGAACCATTGCGCAAAAGGTACAATCTGTGCCTTCATGTGATAATGCAAAGAGAAATTTAAATCAACCCTAATAATATACTAAAAGAGTCATTTTTCTCCGGCGATCAGATATGTTAATTCTCGAGATTTTCGGACGGATGTACATACTAATACTAGTAATCGACACAGAAAGGAAATGCGGTGGCTGCTTCTGTCGCCAAAAAATCGAACATTATGTGTTTAGAATTAGCTTTCCCGTAATCTCTGGTATATATTTCCGCGTTGCACCTTATGATCATTGATACTTACTCCTCTCGGGTTTTTTCCAATTGAATGTAAACAGTTATCTACACGAATTAGAACTAGAACTCCAAAGAGTACTGACGTGTTTCGGTACGTCAGGTCACGCCTTGTCACGTCACGCCTTGTCACGTCACGCCATGCATTATTGGGTATAGTAAGATCCAATACCTAAAGAGGAAAAGCCTGTCATTTTGAAATCTTAATAAAACCGGAAGTTATACTTTAAGACTGAACATTCTGATATTAATTGTTAGTAGACATGAGGGTCATAATATATGAAACGGTCAAGGGTCATTAAAAGGTTAGAACACCAGATATAAGTTGAAAAGTCGAAGAAAATTCAAAGTGAAACCGGGAATAAACGAAATCAAAATTCAAAAATCGGCTCCCTAAGAATTGTTGCCATTTGGAGTAGATTCAAAACAAAAAAAAACAAACAAACAAAAAGTTTTCGAAAATCAGAATCAAAATGACGGCTGAATATCGATTTTAATGGGTTTTTTTTTGTAAAATCCAATGTTATCGAGCAAGGTCTCTGAAAATGAAAGATATAATCTGGGGCTGACACTGCCATATGTCATTTTTGGTCTATTTTTAAAATGGAGAGAACTATGTGTTCGTTATTCCTACCAAGTTTTAACTTGATACCTCAAATAGTGACGGAGATACGCCATCTTGAGTGTCAGAAAAATGATGAAGAAAACTTTCGCAAATCTTTTATGCTAATCTAATCAAACGAACATCCGAATTTCGAAAAACCGACAGTCAGAGCCCATATGGGATTAGTCCAACGAATCCAAAAATGAAAACCCGAAAACGATCCGTTGAGAAATAACCGATGGGCAATCCGAGATTATTTTTTGTCCCATTCGTAAAACACTTCCTGTTTGTCAAAAATGACCCAAATTTATATTCAATATTTAGTTGCACGGAAGCCAACAGTAGCTACGTTGGCAGAATGTTTGCACCATGCACAATCTTGGCTGCAACTTCTGACTAAAATCGGCCAAAAAAAAAAAAAAAATAATAAAAAATAATAATAATAAAAACTCTTACGAAACAATACGTGTTTTGAAATTGGACGCACACTATTCCCTGAATAGACAATCTGTGGAAGACGTACACGTATTGGTAGGATCAATTGGAAGGATATTGTCATTATACCCGGGGGATATTGGAAACGGCAGCCGTACGTTACATGAATACTTTTAATCATCCCCATATTATCTCCAGTATAATAGCCAAACAACTCATCCTAGTTCTGGTATTATTGGCCATTTTTTATTTCTAGAAATTGGAATAATAAGCACTTCCAGAAACATTATCCGGACTATTATCTCTACCCTTTGCTACTTATCAATTACCCACGGCTAAAACATTTTATTCCTACAATAATTTTGTTGACCACATTCTTGGCTACAGATTATCAGATTTGAAGGTAATTTACATAGTAATGTTGGGGTTGTACGTCGTAATACACGACGGGGTTTATGTAAATGTCAACAACCAGAACCAAATAACAGCTATGTAAAACACTCAAAAAGACTAGTCTCAAAATGAGCGAATCGTATTTTTGACAGTATGTTAAACCCCATTCCTGTCCGTCTATATGGATGGAGGCAACACGATCTAATTGGTTTTATGAACGTGGTAAATACAGATTCATAAAAACAAGAAAATAAGGTAACTCGCATCTCTGTATTCAGATAAATACAAGTCGTCGAACAATGAAATATTCCACACTATTAATCAAAGCCGACCGATTGTCTTTACACAACATTATGGAGGGTAATAGGTCAGTAATTAATAAATGGAAATTGTTGAAATTCGATATCTTCTGCCTCTCTCACTAATCGGAACAATGCAAATCTTCCGCCACTCTCACTAATCGGAACAATGCATATAAATCTCAAGAGGATGACATTATAACATTTGTAGCTGAACACAGTTTAAAGTTGCTATATTCCAAGGAAGATAAACTATATACTCAGGAGACGTATTGTATATACTACGCATACGTAGATGATTTTTTTTATCTCTAAGTCCGCCCTTGTAATCAATTTAGTTGCCGATTTCAATATGCACACCGTGTCTACCCTGGTAAAATGATTTTGAGGTTAAATTTTGCGTCATACCAGTTCATCAGGTACACTCAAACGACACCCTGTGAATTCGTTTATATATTTGTCAGGTAGGCACGTGACTATTTTTACAGTTAATGCTTTGCAATGGTATCAATATTGATCTATATAGAGAAG